ACCTCAAAATAAAATTTTATTTTACAATTTAAAATATATTCAATTATAAAATAAAAATTATTAAATAAAAAAAACTCAAATATTAAAGAATCGAACCTGTTTAATGGTTATAGTCTCATCTGCAGTGTATGAACTATGAACTGCACCATATTTTTTTTTTAAAAAAAAAGTCTGAATGGCATATTAGTAGTTAAGCAGCAAACTATGTGCATGTAGTAATTTCACACTTGTGCAGATCCCTCTTGGGATTCTCTCCATGCCTTTTGATTGTATATCCTTCCCCATCTCCTCTTTAAATCTGTTTTTATGGCTTCACATCTGCTCCTATTTCAATTCCATCTGTTCATTTCGGGTCTGCATTAGTTGTTGTCTTCTTCTGGAATAACTCATGTTTCCCATTATCCTTTTCTTAATGAATTTCTAAATTAATATATCTCTAAAACAATTTGAAACCTTATTTTTTGGATTCATCCTGGTTGTTTTTGAGTAAAGAAATTGCCAAATTGGTTTTCAAAGGGTTTGGTTTTTGTTGTGATGTATACAAGAGGGATGTTCTTCCATACCTAGTGTGTCTGACGAAAGCAATCTTCTACAGCCGCCACGTTTTCTTTCTTAAAGCACTGTCTCTCTTATGTTCTGATATTGAAAAAAAGCAAAGGTCTTTGGGGTTTTGTTTGAAGAGAGAGACATGGAAGCTGTTGTGCAAACCAGGGGGCTTCTCTCACTACCCCCAAAACCCACTGCAGCCAGGAGGCTTCTTCAGCCATCACAGGCGCTAAAGCAGAGGCTTTTTGCCACAAAACCTGTAAGTTTTAATGGGTTGTCTCTTTCTTCAAATGGATATCAGAAATTACCTGCCTTTGTGTCAAAATCACATGGGTTGTACCCAAAGGAGAGGTCTTTGCACATCTGCAAGGCAGAGGCTGCTGCTGCTGATGGACAGCCTCTGTTTGAGGAGAAGCCTAAGTTCTTGGGCATGGAGACAGTGACTCTGAAGAAAATTATCCCTCTTGGGTTGATGTTTTTCTGCATCCTTTTCAATTACACAATCCTCAGGGACACAAAGGATGTGTTGGTCGTGACAGCTAGGGGGAGCAGTGCGGAGATTATTCCATTTCTTAAGACCTGGGTTAATTTGCCCATGGCTGTTGGGTTCATGTTGCTGTACACGAAATTGGCTAATGTTTTGCCTAAACAAGCTCTTTTCTACAGTGTGATTGTGCCCTTCATTGCCTTTTTCGGGGCATTTGGGTTCCTTTTGTATCCTCTCAGCAATCACATCCATCCTCAAGCCCTTGCTGATAGGCTTCTTGCTGTTCTTGGCCCGAGGTTTCTTGGTCCACTTGCAATTATGAGGATTTGGAGCTTCTGTTTGTTCTATGTTATGGCTGAGCTTTGGGGCAGTGTGGTGATTTCTGTTCTGTTTTGGGGGCTTGCCAATCAGGTGATTATATTATTTTACAAATCAAGTTTCAAATTTGATTGTATGCTTGATTGTTTAAATTATGTTTCTGATTAGATTGCATACAAATTGTTCAAATATGTTACCTTTTGATTCTGTGTGTCAGAACTTGTTTTCTTTTCAAATTTTTATTTTCCCCTTCAGTTCATGCAGTTAAATATATCGTTTGAGATTTTAATTTCCTTTCATTTGGTTTGCTATCAGAAGTTGACATGGCCTCCATTGGTCCATAATCGCTTGTCCCCCTTTTCACCTAATTTGTATGCATAACTTAACCACGTACTAAATAGAAAATGAATATTCAATAGAGATACAGGAGGGAGAATTTTTTTCTAGCTGTGATTTGATATAATGCAAAACATTCAAGATTATGGTATGTGTTTTGATTGTTAAGGATAATATGCAATAATGTTTGTTAAATTTAACTGGTATGTTGTTGTGCCTTTTACCTGTACACGATTGTTTCAGATTTCCCCCTTGCTTGCTATTACTTATGTACTTATTGTTGCATTTCTGCCTTGCAGATAACTACCGTTGAGGAAGCAAAAAGATTCTACCCCCTCTTTGGCCTTGGAGCCAATATTGCACTCATTTTCTCTGGCCGAACTGTAAAGTATTTCTCTAATTTGAGGCAAAATTTGGGTCCTGGGGTTGACGGTTGGGCGATCTCTTTAAAGGGAATGATGGGCATTGTGGTGTTGATGGGGCTTGCAATCTGTGGCCTTTATTGGTGGGTGAATGCTTATGTTCCACTTCCAACACGTAGTAAGAAGAAGAAGGTAGATTGTTGGTGAACCTTGTCATTTAGAGTATTGTGGTTTATTTTGTTCTTTGGCTCCTTCTTCTTTCACTTTGATGCTAAATATTTGTTGTGCTACTCTTTTCTTAAATATCCATGTTTGAAACACACTAAGGCCTCTTTAAGTTCCGTGACGCAATCAGTATTCCCTTTTTGTAACTGGCTGAAATCCCTATTGGTCATTAAACTAGTGTTCTTTTCCATTCAACACTATGGCTTAGTTTGACAGTGTTGGTCTGTAGCTGCAGCTGTAGGTTTTTTGGTCCTTTAACATCCTAAAAATATATAAAATATATTTAATATTTATTATAATTAATATTTTATATATTTTTAAAATAGTAAAAAGACATAAAAACCAAAAGCTAAAAGACCAAGAAGCATTGTCAGACGAGGCCTATGTATTTCTGATGGCACATGGATTCTTACTTTAGGTCCGAAAGGCCAGACATAGGAGAAACCTTTCTTGAGGCTTATTGTAGCATTAGGCATGCAATCTGCCAACAATGGCAGTTTTTTTACAGAGATTGGATCTTATAGTTAGAATATATGGGCAGCTGAACTTTTTAGAGTCTCTTTTTGTTGCTATGTTATAGGTGAATATATGTCAAATTCATGCATTCCATTTTCTTAATTTTCCTTTGCAGGAGAAACCCAAGATGGGAACGATGGAGAGCTTAAAATTCTTGGTCTCATCAAAATACATTAGGGATCTTGCAACTTTGGTGGTTGCATACGGTATAAGCATCAACCTTGTTGAAGTTACTTGGAAATCAAAGCTAAAAGCTCAGGTAAAGCAAGTCTGGGTATTTCTCTGTTGTCTTCTTATCATGACGGGCCAATTAACTAATGATTCTCTTTCAGTTTCCAAGCCCGAACGAGTATTCATCTTTCATGGGTGACTTCTCAACTGCTACTGGAATAGCAACATTCACAATGATGTTGCTGAGTCAATTCATATTTGATAAATACGGATGGGGAGTTGCAGCCAAAATCACACCCACGGTCCTGCTTCTCACTGGTGTTGGTTTCTTTTCTTTGATATTGTTTGGAGACCCACTCACACCTACTCTTGCGAAGTTTGGTATGACTCCTCTTCTAGCAGCTGTATATGTGGGTGCCATGCAAAACATTTTCAGCAAGAGTGCAAAATACAGCTTGTTTGATCCTTGCAAGGAAATGGCCTATATTCCCTTGGATGAGGAAACCAAGGTTTGTATTCTTAACTCTCAATTCCATTTCTAAATCCGTGAACCTTTTATATTTCTTTTCCTTGTTAGAAACCAAAACAAAGTGGTAAAAATGTTGATGTTTTCAAAGTTATGTTGAATTTCGATTTTGACATTAATTCCTTTTCACTGACCTGGTCTACATCCACTTCTTTGCATTTTGTTTCTGTGATGCTATCCTTAGGTTAAAGGGAAGGCAGCCATTGATGTCGTTTGCAATCCACTGGGCAAGTCCGGGGGTGCTCTCATTCAGCAGTTTATGATCTTAACCTTCGGATCACTTGCAAATTCTACACCTTACCTTGGAGGGATACTTCTTTTGATTGTGTCTGCATGGCTAGGGGCAGCCAAGTCTCTGGATGGACAGTTCACTGCTCTGCGAAGGGAAGAGGAACTTGAGAAGGAAATGGAGAGGGCAACTGTTAAGATCCCTGTAGTGTCTGAAAGCAGAAATGGATCTGTTACTTCATCACTGAACCCTGCAGCAGACGACACATCAAGCAGCTCATCGGAAACTTCTGCTCCACGCAATATATAGGTACAACAAAATTTCTTCCATTCGTTTGCTGATCCAGGAGAAGAATAAAGAAGCCTATGCCTGGTGGAAAGCAAGTGAAATGTTTGTTGTAATGTCACTCTTGTTCTTTAGATAGAAATAATAGGGGTAGTAGCTACAAGGGCCAGTATGCATGACTGGGTAGAATTGCCTTCGGATGGAAAACAAACCCTTTTTTGAAATACTTTTATTATTTTTTAAAAGAATATTTATACATGATTTTATTTAACAAGTCAATTAGTTTTTTTATAAAAAAAAAAATCAATAATGGGGTTATTTTTTGGATTATTGTATGGTGTTGTAATTGTGGTTTTTTTTTTTTTTTGTTAATGGTTGATAATTATTCTTCTTGATGAAGTGGACAATGATATATCACTAAAAATTATTTAATAGCAGGAGACTTACAAACACCAATTATGTCTTCCCCAAAATAGGCACACACTTCATCAGGTGGTACTCAAAGATATGTAGGCCATTATCTAGATGATAAAATCTTGATAACATTATATTTACACAGATATTCTTCTCACAAAGTGTGTGCCTAACCTTACATACCCAATCTCTTTTCATGAAAGCTTTGCATTTGTCGACCAAATGTGATAATGCATCGACCTCAGTAACATTATTTTGCAATTTTTGAGTAACTAACAAAGAATCTGTTTTATAATGACTTGTCGAAATCCTTTCTTCCATGCTAGCTCCAGTTCTTTCCAAATGGCATATAATTCGGCATGAATTGCATACCCTTCACCTAATTGTTGCCAGAACCCATAAATCAACTGTCTTGTCTCATCTCGGCAATATCCCCTTGCAGCATATGCACTAGGTGCACCTTCTATTGATCCATCCACATCAATCTTGACAAACCCTTGCATTGGAGGATCCCAACTTAAGAGATGAATTTGTTTAGGCTGATTTTGTGTCTTTTTCAAATAAATGGCAACTTCTATTAAATGATGCTTGAGCATAGGTTGCTTGGTTGAAGTCACAATGAATGTCCTCATCATATGAAGTTTTGTTACGAACCGACCATAAAAATCAACAAATAATAGCAAAAGCAGTATCCCTATTCAGTCCATTCTCCATTGTTTCCCTTGTCCTCAAGATATCATACTCAATCCACTCTTTGTAGGTCATGGTTTGCCATTTCTCCAGAATCCAATGCCTCTACATAGTTGTTGGTGGTTGATAATTATCTTAAAATAGTGTTGAACATCTATACAATTATTACTACTCAAAATAGTCTAATGGCACTTAGGGATAATTAAGTGGCAAGCATTCAAGGACCGATTGTTAAGATTCCTTCTAGAGGATCATTTGGAAGACCACACAATCTAAAAATAGCTAGTATTTCCAACTTGATGAAATTAATTAAAAGATAATCAAAGTTTCAATCATAATAAGGTAATTTTTATTGGATATTGCCACTCATTGTCTTAATATGAATACATAGTTTTTTTTTTTTTTAATGAAATATGAATACATAATTAATGATAATCTAATATAATTGATTATATGAATATAATCCATATGAATATACAACTTAGAAACCTTTTCACAATCTAACACATAAAATCAATTGTATCGCTCTTGATTATGGATTCTTTCATTATTAAGATAAGTTATGGCTTAATTTCTGCCTACCTTCCTAAATTATTCTCCCGAGATATGTGGAAACCAAACACGGCCTTAGTGAAAGGGGAAACTTCTTGGTACTTGAACCATGGCTTCTGCCATAGATTTTGGGTGCCCAGATGCAGTTGCATCTGATGCTGCAAGAGATGCAGTTGGGTCCATTGTACCTGTCTAACAGGGCCAATAAGGTCATTGACTTGGCTCAGTTTATGGTCGGTGGACTCAACACTCTGCTCAGCAGCATCAATTTTACACCCAATTTTCGAACTTAGGGCCTAACATACAGTTGGGCTCTTGAATTGGACTCTTGTTTTGCCAGCCAGTGGAGTTACATAAGTTTTGAATCTTGACCTCATAACCCTTATAGGGCATGATACTTTTTTTAAGGAATTTAGAGGTTGCTCAATGAATTATGAAATTGGGCAATTAAAAGAACTGAAATATGCAAATGTTATGCATTAATGGGTTGCCAAAGATGTGAGCGGTCCAAAGGTGGGAAGGAGGGTAATCTCTCCTTCTAATGGGAGTAAGAAGTCTTTGGATTCGAGTGCCTTGAAGTTGAGCAAATTAGGTATAGGAATAAAAGAATGTTATTGTACAACTCAAAATTAAAAAAATTGATAATTTTATATTGTATTACTATTTTCAATAATTTTTTAAAAGGAAAATGACGTGTGCACACTCAGATTCAACACCCGGGTGTGCACACTCTACCAAAAAAGGAAAAAATGGAACACTCGGTCTCATTTTTTTTTTATGTGAAGTGTGCACACCCTGATGTTGAATCCAGGTGTGCACCAATCATGGTCCTTATTAAAAATTAGAACCTTTTACTCTATTACACGTAGATTTACCATGCACAATACTTGATGGGTGGGTTTGAAATTACTTTCACATAGCATACTATTGAAAACATTAATTTTTATAATTAAAGTAATTTTAATTAATTTTATACTTTACTAGTGTTGTTATCACCAACAAGTAGCAACCAAGTTTTTGATGACTCTTTGGCACGACTATCAGGTTTCAGTGAGGAATCTACAAACTAGTTGTACATGCCATACAATTGACTATGTAAAAATTTCAAAATTCTGACATAATTTCAAAATCCTAGATCAAATTTTCATGGCTAATTGATCATGGCTTCCCTAAATTCAACTTCCAAGGAAATTGACCTACCAAACATGGCCTAAGGGTGTGTTTGGTTGTGAAAACGTTATTTCCCCTTATCCAAGAAAGTTTAAAGATATTTTAATATTTTCACATCTCAATATTATAACTATAGCATTTGAAATCTTTTTAAATCATGTTAAAAATATTTGATGCAACTTCTACTATTTTGAGCATGTTTCGAGAAAGTATCTACTTCTTCTCAATGTGAAGAAGTGTTTGAAGGTAATATAATACATTAATATCTCTAGAATTTGTTTGAATTCTACATCTTAAAAGAAAATCTCAAAATTAACTAATACATGTCTTTTCATTTGTAGACTATAATGCATTGATGTCTTTTGAATTTGTTTTTGTTTTACATCTTATGGAGAAAATCATGAAGCTCATTGATACGCTATGTAAATCTTCATAATGTAAATCTCAAGATATTTTGAATGCCTTAAATATTATCAAATCAATGAAGGATCTTAGTCAATTTAGAAAAAGTAGGTGGAATTCTTTATTTGAAAAGGTAAAATTAATCTAAAAGAATAACAATATAAACATTTCAGACATGTTCGCTACATATCTTGCAAAAGAAGGATGTGCTTGTCATCAATAAAATATTATCACTATTGAGCATCATTATCAAGTAGATATTATAAATGGAGTAATAAATTCCCAATTGTAAGAATTGAATGATAGGTTTAATGAGAATGTAATGGAATTATTGATTCTTAGTGGTGCTGTATATTCGAGATGGGTACAAGAGTTTCAATATTGATAATATTTATAGGCTTGTAGAAAAATATTATCCTTAAGATTTTTTAGAGATGAAGAAACTTCATTTGAGAACAAAGCTTCAACATTATGATATTGAAACAAATTGTGATCAAAGGTCTTCATAATTTGTCAAACATTTCTGAGTTATATAAATGACTTATGAAGATAAGAAAATCAAAGATCTATAATCTCATTTACAAATTAATTACTTTAGTGCTTATTCTTCCAATTTCTATGGAAATAACAGCAAAAACATTTTCTACTATGAAAATTGTGAAAGCAAAACTTTGCAAAAAAATGGAGGATGAATTTTTTCAAAATTTTTGATTGTTTATATTGAAAAGGAAATTGTTTAATTTCTCAAAAAAAAAAAGGAAATTGTTTAATTTCTCAAAAAAAAAAAGAAAATTGTTTAGATATTTAGTACAGAATCTATTATTGATAGATTTCATAATATAAAGACATGTGAAGTATTATTTTAATTTATGATATAAAAGCAAGTTTTTGGAACTATAATATTTTATTTTGAGACTTGAAAGTTTGGCACCCCTAGCCAAAATTCCTAGCTTCGCCACTAACAATAGTGTAGGTGTGCTAATAGCCACATGTGAATTTTTAAAACTCATATAAATATATTTAATTTGATTGATATTTTATTAAATTTTAGTTTTTTTCTCAAAAAGTTGATTATGATATATGAAAATATTGGTTTATAAATTTATTTTAATTTATTAAGTAATAAATATCAATTATTTTTGCAGTTATTAACTATTTTCAACAACTAAATAAAATAAATTTAGTAATTTTGAAGATAATATTGTGTGATCTTAATATATTCATGTGTGGCCATAGCATAACCGAAGAATCCTAACTATGTGCAAAAACAATTATGAATAAATTTTCAAAGGTTAAATATATTTTTTGTTTGTAAACTTTTAATTTTGAACATTATTAGTTTTTAAACTGTTTTTTTACACTTTTTCATTTTTGAACTATGAAAATTGTACATTTTACTCCTTTCATTAGTTAGTTAGTTAGGTATGTCCATATTACTATATATGCATATTTTTAATCTTTAAACTTACAAGTTTTTATTCTAATTAATTGACAGATTAAAAATGTATATATATGGATAAATTTAATAAACTAATTGAAAAAATGGAAAAAATGACAAAAGAAATACATTTTTCTTAGTTTAGGGACGACAAAAGTGTAAAAAATAATTTAGAAACTTAAAAATATTCAAAATTAAAAGTGTAGGGACTAAAAAAAATGGCATTTTACCTGTTTCAAATTATAAGGACTTTAAAGAAGGAAAAAAGCTATTGGCTGTTTGGATAAGGCGCTGTTTAGTGCAGAACTGAAGACTTCGTTATCGGCTAATCTGTTATCAACGATTCATTGTCCTCTTGAAATCAATTTCAGTTAATTAACAGTTAAACCCTCACGTAAAACCCTTTGCAAGAACATACTATGCTCTGCATCTCCAACAATGGCTGTCTCCGCGAAATTCCCACAAGTCCCTCTCAACCCAGACCATCCACAGCATCTCCACGCCAAAACCCACAAGACCAAAGACGTAGCTTTCCCTCACAAACCCAAAACCCACCCTATATCCTCGAGGAAATCCCAAGAAATCTGTGTCTTGAACACCAGCTCCGGCGTCACCCAGAACCCAAATCTGCGTCTGCACGACCTGTGCCTCAACGGTAACTTAGAGCAAGCTCTAAGGTACTTCACCTCGATGCAAGAACTGCAAATTTCGGTAGATGAAGATGTGGTTATTGCTCTGGCCAGGCTTTGTGAGTGGAGGACAGCGTGTGAAGAGGGGTCTGAGCTTTACTCTTTGGCGTTGAAGTCGGGTACGAATTTAAGTCTGAGGCTTGGAAATGCATTTTTGAGTATGTTTGTGAGGTTTGGTAACTTGGGTGACGCGTGGTATGTGTTCGGTAGAATGCCGGAGAGAGATGTATTTTCTTGGAATGTGCTGATTGGTGGATATGCAAAAGCAGGGTTTTTTGACGAAGCGTTGTCTTTGTATCATAGAATGTTGTGGGCTGGAATCAGGCCTGATATTTATACTTTCCCTTGTGTGTTGAGGACTTGTGGTGGCTTGCCAGACTTGGCAAGAGGGAGAGAGGTTCATGTTCATGTGATTAGATATGGGTTTGAAGCAGATGTTGATGTGGTCAATGCTTTGATAACTATGTACGTGAAATGCGGGAATTTAAGTAATGCGCGTGTCTTGTTTGATAGAATGCCTAGGAGAGATAGGATCTCTTGGAATGCCATGATTTCAGGATATTTTGAGAATGGAGAATGTTTAGAAGGATTAAGATTGTTTTTTATGATGCGTGAGCATTCAATTTACCCAGATTTGATGACTATGACTAGTGTGATTGCTGCCTGTGAACAACTTGGTGATGAGAAACTAGGTAGGGAAATTCATGGGTTTGTGATGGCAACTGGCTTCTCAATTGATATTTCTGTGTGTAATTCTTTAATTCAGATGTACTCAAGTTATGGTCAGTTGGAAGCAGCAGAAAAGGTTTTCAATGGTATGGAGTCGAAAGATATTGTGTCATGGACAACAATGATTTCATGTTATGAAAATAATGTAATGCCTGATAAAGCCTTGGAAACCTACAAAATGATGGAGCTAGAGGGTATTGTTCCTGACGAGATCACTCTGGCCAGTGTTTTATCTGCTTGTGCTGCTTTAGGCCGGTTAGATATGGGTACTAAACTCCATGAGCTTGCTAAAAGTATGGGGCTCATATCATACATTATCATTTCAAACACGCTCATTGACATGTATTCCAAGTGTAAATGTATAGACAAGGCTCTAGAAGTGTTCCATGGCATTCCTGACAAGGATGTCATATCGTGGACTTCAATTATCTTGGGGCTTCGGCTCAACAACCGGTGCTTTGAGGCATTGATGTTTTTCCGCCATATGAAGCAGAATACAAAACCAAATTCTGTGACTTTGTTGTCTGTTCTATCTGCGTGTGCTAGAATAGGAGCTTTGACAAGTGGAAAAGAGATTCATGCCTATGCATTAAGGAGTGGAGTAGGCCAGGAGAGCTTCCTAGCTAATGCACTTCTGGACTTGTATGTAAGATGTGGAAGGATGCAACTTGCTTGGAACCAATTTAACTTACAGAAAAATGATGTTGCTGCATGGAATATTTTGCTTACAGGGTATGCTCAACAAGGGCAAGGAAAGATGGCACAGGAGTTCTTTGATAAAATGATAATGTCTAATGTTTATCCAGATGAGATCACTTTTCTTTCTCTCCTATGTGCTTGCAGTAGATCGAGAATGATTGCTGAAGGTCTGGAGTATTTTTATAGCATGGAACATAATTATGGTATCACCCCAAATCTGAAGCACTATGCATGTATTGTTGATTTGCTTGGTTGTTCAGGGAAGTTGGAGGATGCTTATCAGTTTATTATGCAAATACCTTTAAAGCCAGATCCAGCAATATGGGGAGCCTTATTAAATGCATGTAGAATCCACCACCATGTTGATCTTGGAGAACTTGCAGCTCAACATATTTTTGAAACGGACACAGAAAGTGTTGGGTATTTCATTCTTTTATGTAATCTCTATGCTGAAAGTGGTAATTGGGATGAAGTTGCAAGAGTTAGAAAGATGATGAAAGAGAAAGGGCTAACCATTGATCCTGGATGCAGTTGGGTGGAAGTAAAGGGTGAGGTACATGCATTCCTTACCGGTGACAATTTCCACCCTCAAATAAGGGAAATAAATGCAGTTTTGGAGGGATTTCTTGAGAAAATGAGGGCAGCTGGGTTGAACAGTCCAGAGGGTGAGAAAATGGGTGAGGTTGAAACTTCAAAAGCTGAGATTTTCTGTGGGCACAGTGAGCGACTGGCTCTTGCATTTGGCCTTATTAATACTGTCCCTGGCACACCTATTCAGGTCACAAAGAATCTCTACATGTGCCAAAGCTGTCATACAATCATCAAATCAATCTCCAAGATTGTTCGCAGGGAGATTTCTATACGGGATTCCGAACAATTCCACAATTTCAAGGATGGCATCTGTTCCTGTGGCAATGTGGGATTGGTAAAAGAATTTGGCAACGAAGAACAATGAAAGAATATCCAGTTTCTTTGAGGATGGAGGAATATCTTGTTATATTATGTGTGTAAATATTTGAAAGCAAGCTAAATGTCACCAGAGACTGCAGAAGACATTACTGTGCTATGAATCGTGGATCAGCCTGTTAAACTAAAATGCATTACATGCTGAAAGGAAAGAAGGAGACCTTCAATATCAAAACTCAGTTTCCTAGACAAACAAACAAAGTTCTGTGTTTTCTTTGGCAGTTTGCTCTATAGTAAGAGAACTGCCTCTGGAGTTTGTAGTATGGTGCTGATAGGAACATGGGGGACTCCATTCTTGTTGGCAGAGTGTAAGGTATATAACCTGTTTTCCTCTGCTTGTATTGTATTTGCTTTTAAAATCAAATGCGAAAACTCAACTGATGGTTGAAGATGGTGTATAAGATGATAGATCACGAATGTAATATCATTTTGAAATACAATAAAATTTTCTCATGATTTAGTCTCTTATCTGAGTCGTGTCATACTATTGGCAAGGACAAAGGATTCTAATTGATTGTTAGTTTATCAAAACTGTCTGAATTATTTAGGGATTATATTGTTTTAGAAGGATTTCATCATACTGTATGCAGTTTCTATATCCAAGTTACTCAGTTTGAGCAATCATTAAAAGAAGAATATTCAGCAGCAGAGTACCCAAACATAAGACTAAACTATTTAAAACAACAAGCTGTTATTAAATCTCTGCAACAACAAAGTCTTATACATACATCAAAAACAATGGAAAACGTTAAATCTCACACTAAATTTATTTAACTTAAGGAGCTATAACCGGCACTCTCAAATAATAATAAAAAAGAAAAAAGAAAAAGGAGAAAACAACAATATTGAGGATATTACAAATTCATACACCTAGGGGAAAGGATTTTCACATTCTCACTGCCTTCTTGATTGTCTTGATAGAGGATTTGAGGAGGCTGTTTCCTACGTCATTATCTTCATCGTCACTACTTACTATTGGCTTTTTCCTTATGCAGTCCACTCCTTTTTTCATACCCAAGATGAGAGATGGAGAAGATGGGATCCGCCTAAAAGTTCTGGCACTCTCAGACCTCACAAGCACTCTTTCCTTTCCATTCTTCTCCTTTCTTTCCTCACAAGCAGTTACATTTCTACCTACTGTTTTACCACCTTCTTTCTCAACAATCTTGTCTTTTCTCTTCTCTCGAACAACATTCTGCTTTTCCTCAACAATTTGTGTCACTCCCTGTTTCTCCTTCTGTGGATATTTTTCATTTAACTTTTTAATTATTTCATCAGTTCCACTGGTTTCAACTGCATGTATATTTTCAGGATCCATCTCTTCCTGAACATTCTCTAACAACATTTGGAGCCACCTCTCCACATTCCCTTTGCCGCGCTGCCTCCTGCTCTCTTCATCTTCCTCTTTATCTGATTCTTGAAGAACTGGGAACTGAATCTTGGGTGCACTGTCTTCTACTATTTCCAGTCTCTGAAGTTTCCGCTCAATTGAATTATCATGCTGTAAAGGACCAGTCATCCTATCATGCTCCTCAAGTTTTCCTCTTGCAGGATTTAGCAGTTGCTCTTCAATTTCTTCATGCTTTGGATCTTCATTCAATGACAAACCAGCATCAGATGCTTTCTGTTCCTCCTCTAGAAACACTCTCAGTTCCTTGTGTAAAGGTGTTCTGGGCTTGATTCCTGGTAAATAAAGAACATTTCTACTATCCCTTCCTTCAAATAAAGTATCATCCATTCTTGATCTCTTCCTTGCATGTCCCCATTCAGGCCTTATCTGCTTCTCAAGCTCGTCCCGCTGTTTAAATTTCTTGTGGAGTTCTTTCTCTGATGCATCACAAATTTCCTTTTGTGCTTCAAGCCTAGCCATGAGTGCATTGGTTGCAGCTTGGTTCAGCCGTACCTGCTCCTTATAAATGACACTCCTACAGGGAAACCTGAAACTTTAGAATTTGTATCTGTGGAAAATAGATGTTTATCTTTAAAAGAGCATTTTGTGAATCTTACTGGTGCATGGCATCGCGAATCATCTTTTCTAGTGTAGTTCTGTATGAAGATTGTGCCTCAGCTAGCCGCCTGCATTTTTCTGCCCGTCTCCTACGTTTGGTCAGCTCCACTTCCAAATCTTGAATGGTCAGCTTTTCTTCATCATTCTTCCTCCTCATTTCATTCACTTCCTCATCCAATATCTGGATTTCTGATTGCATCTTTTGAGATTCTTCTCTTTGTTTGAGGGAATCTCTGGCCATTACAATGGCTTGGTATGGGTTTGTAACAAAATCAGGATTTTCATTTTCTTTTAAAGAACTATGTCTCCCTTTCCTTGCAGCTACAAAATTAAAGACAAAATAACAAAGGATGTATCTTATGAGATACGAAAGACTTGACAAACTAGCGCAAGTAAAATAGATTACTAGACTAGATTCTTTGTTGGTACTAACCAATTGCAGGAGAGTGTGGTCTTATCTGCCTATTGTAATCCAGTGATTTCAAGGCGGATGAAGAATCAAAATGCTCCCTCCGAGCTACAACAATGGCAGCTGGGGCGAGGCCTACTTGGTGTTTTGATTCCACAAAATGCTGTGGGAAAGAATGTGACTCCACTGTTTGTGAAGGATTTATTTCTTCATTTTCACCTTCTGCAAACAAGAAGGAAAATGCCCTGTGCCTGCGAAATTTTGTTCATCTTGTATTAGTCATCCCTTTCAACTTTTCTAATTTAAACCTATCTCAAAGGCAGAAACTGAGAAATACCAACCTGAAATCAGAGTTTGAAGAAGCAAAAATTGATAAGAACTGGTTAACAGAAATACCCAACTGAAGATCCCACCATGGAACCTGAAAGTCTAGCTTATTATGCTTTCTCCTGCACACCTGCCACTGTAATATCCTCAGGTTGCTTGGAACTGTCAATCCTCCCCCTAAAATTTCGAAAAAAGAATACAAAACTATAATTTAACCGACAGAAGTACAAAGAGGCAAAGGAAAGAAAAACTTAAGTGAGCAATGGATAATGTACTTGAGCAAGGAAACCAGTGATCAATGTCCCAAGCAAGAGGTGAAGATTTGTCTGCATGATAGTACAGAACATTGCCATATGGGTCTACTCGAATAACCGTGGGATCAAAGCCAGCATTCCTAAATTGACAGGCAGTAACTGACATCAGAAATCCCATACTTTTACATTTCCATAAGTATTTTGTTAATATATGAGAGAATTTGAAAGGTTACCCTAAATGATTGAGCTGCTTCCATAGGAGGCTGACGAATATCTTTGGCTTTGTTGTTGGTTTTGCTTTTGGGTCAATAACTGGGAAGAACTGCTCCAGTTCCTCTGCTCTTAAAATCTGGAAACATATGATATGAAAAAACCAAACCCAATTGTTACTATTTATGGGCTAATAGAAATGTTTCATAAAATATCACTATCACAAGAATTCACTCCAAAAACCAGTAAATTGAAACAGAAGAAGAGAGTTTGGCAAGACCCATCTTTCATTCATCTTAAATTTTATCATAGAAAGAATTCAAACTTCTACTATATTCATACTTACATTATCTGACATAAAAATGCCAAATCTTAACAATTAATGCTTCATTTTCAAAAAAGCAACTTATTTCACGCTTTAGTAAAATTCTTAGCCCTGGAATCTAAAGTATGAAATGTTTTACAGAACTGTCCATCTTTTGTTCAAATTTCCACCAATTCCTAGGAAAACAAAGAGAAAATCAAACTGGGACATTCTCCTAACGAATTGCAAGTTTTTGTACTTACTAAAAACCCTGGAGACTGAAATCCAACCGATTTCCCATCATTTCTATGAAAGCAAACAACACAAACTGTCAAGGGTGCAAACTTTTACCTCATTTTGCTGCAAAACATATGGAGCGTAGGTGAAGGGAGGCCCGAGATTGTACGGACCAAAGCCACGGTCCCGGCAGATCTTGGCGTAGGCCTTTGGGTGACCGAGACCCTCATCAATTACCAAGTCGTCTTCAGTGAACCCATAATCGGCTGCCATTTCCGTGGAGAGATGCTCGCGTGTTCTATGTTGAGACTAAAGATGCAGGGAGCGGCTCTGTTTCGGCTAACAATTAAGAGTAGTTAACGGTCGAATTGAATGGTTTTTTTTTTTTAAAGGGGGATTCGGTGAGTTTGAATTTTAATGCCACGTAAGCAAAACTAACGGCTACATGGACCGGTCCCATGCTATTAATTTGGCCGTGAAAATCTTCACTCATACGTTGGCTGGTAGTATAAACGGTAAACATGAAAAAGACACATACACCGTTGTATGGCTCCAAAGGGTTATTTGGTAACGGGGGGATTCTATTTTTGAGATTTAGGTTGGATAGGTAATCCATTCAAATAATTTAGTAGTACTCCTTTTAATAAAAATAAAAGTTTTAAGTTTAAGCAATTTGATATATACAGTGAGATAGTTATAAAATAAAAGAGATTTGTTTTTTATTATATAATTTATAATAAAAATAAAATATAAAACCTTGACACTTGATTTGGTGGTGCTACACTATGTTATTATGTGATGTTAAAATAAGTTTTTTTTTTTATCTTTATATTGTCCAAAAATGTATAAAATATTAATTAAAATTAATAAAAGTATATAAAAAATTAATTAAACATTAAAAATTAAAAATTTACATTTTTAAATAAAGTTTTGTGTAAAAAAAGTTTGTCAAAAATAGAAAGTGGTTTGTCAAAAGGAGAAGAGACATCCTTTCATACCCTATTATTAGATAAAAAAAAATGTACATCCTTATACGACAAGCAAAATTAGCTAAAAAAAGATTAAAAATAGTTAAAATTTGGAAAACCCTTTCAAAGCTGTGTCAATTGTTAACATATAATCTAATCTTGCGTTCACCATAATCACTTTATTGTAGGCATAATATTTTCCATTCTTTTTTAAACATTTTTACAAAACTTGTCAAGTTAAAATTCGATAAAACTCATCAAACTTACTCAACTTATCTATTATATAGTCATAAGTAACATATCCTTAACTTACAATTATCCTAATTTAATAATTTTTTTAATATATTGAAGAGTTAATTGTTTTACAACATAAAAGTTTAAATCTCTAATTTTAATCTCTAAACTAAAGTTTTTAAAGTAATGAGTAATTTAACCATACTTATATGACTTGCAACCACTACATGTTGGGTCCCCGCAGTGTGTGTTATCAAATTAGGTGAGAAAATGGGGACAAGGTAGCATTCGCTGCTCGACAGCATTAGAGCTTTTCTTCGAGATTTTGCCCTTTTTGAAATTTAAAATTAAAGTAGCAATCATGAATGATATCATTTAGTTTTGAACAAAGCAGCGTCAAATCATCCAATAAACCATTAAAAAGTTCCTTTTTAGACTAAGTACTACTATGTTCCCCACAAAATCTACTTCAATCTTAGTTGTCGAGCCCAGCTCCGACCTCTTTTTTTTTGCTGGCCCAATTTCAATTCCAATATTCTGTTAATGGGCCTCTCCTACAAGTCAATTCAAGTTTGGTTTAACATCAATTAGCAACGTGAATGAAGAATATTCAAATATTAGAGGGAAAAAGACTGAAGAAAACCAGTGCGAATTTTAACTTTTAAGATGCTTCTTTGAGAACTTGCCTTCTATTCTTGTTTATTTATTGAAATAAGCTGAAATTTTAGGAAACTTATGCTGGGAATTCAATCACAAATAAAATTCCTTCTTCAAGCAAAAGCGTAAAATCAACACAAGAATTTAACAAGAAAAAATCTCGAAAAAGAAAAAAAATTACAAAGAGAAAATAAACTACCATTAAGAAAGTTACAATATTAAAAACTCTCCTCTCAATCTTCTCTAAGAGCTCTTAATCTCTCAAAGTACTCTCTCTTTTTCTCTAGGAATTCCTCTCTCAATTTGAGAACTCTCTCTCACTAGAATTTTCTCTCACCCCAATTACAAGAAGCTCTCACTCACCCAAAATGTTTCCCTAGCCTCTTGTAATTCTCT